CGTCCCATGCCTTTTGTGGAGAGCAAGCATTTCCCAGGTAACATTGACTTGGAAGCTGGCCAGCCATGCCATTCCAGCGGCGGAAAAGATCCATAAATAATATCATTGCTATGCCATGCTTGTGAGTCATTCTGCCGACAGGGAATCTGCCCTCAGCTAGTGTCTAGCTACACTCCTAACGCCACAAAAAGTAGGCGAAAGGCCAAACGTCTTGCCAAATCAAAGCCACACTCACCAAAACTATGAAGGTTGTGGCCCTTTGCAGCCTATAAATGAGGGTTGCTAGGCCCAACTAAAAAGAGCACCATTAGAATGAGAAAATGCTGCTCTTTTATGTAAGCTTCCCAATAGCTGGTGTGTAAGCTCCATGGGAACAACCAGTAACCATTTCTGTGGTACATATTACCACACTTTGCACCTGATGTGCTGCCAAAGCTTATCTTCCACCTGATCCATCCAGCCAAGCCACTCCCTCGGACAGTTTGGTCCTCTAGGACCACTTTGTCCTCTGAGGCGAAGACGTTCTGATTTGAGAACTCTTATCTCAGCTGATACCGACCGACAGAACTGATTTTAAATATTGGCATGGTGACGCTTCTGTTTCCACTGATTGTATATGTTAATGTACTTGAGTTCTCAACTGTATCTTCTTTCCAGTGAGACACATGTAGAGTATATTTTATTAAAAGCATCTAGCCCTCAGCTGCAGCTGCCTTCATGGCATCTGTGTACCCAAGAGGATTTGCCTTTCTAGTGACAGCCCCTTCTGCTGTATTAGATATCATGGAAGTTGGCTTGTTGTTTTTCTGAGTGGGAGAACAGAGCCTGTGGTGGGAAGGATGGCCTCAGAAGACCCAGAGAATGCTCTGAAGACCCTTGTTCTAGGTAACGTGCCTGTAAATTGGGATGTTCTTTGCAATTCAATAAGGGTCTTTTAAATCCACAAAAGGCTAAGTCCAAAACATTTATTATTTATTCGATATTTCTGTGCCCCCTTTCAGTTTTCAAATTCCAACACGCTATACATATAGGCTAAGATAATTGAATGCCTCACCTCTTAGTATTGAATTCATTTGGGCTTACTTTCAAGTGAGTGGGGTTAGGATTGCAGCCTCAGTTATTAATATTAACAGTATTCATTTTTGACAGAACTTACTTTTCACAGTACTTCACAGGTAAGCTTAGGGGAAAGGCTAAGGGGTAAACCTAAACAAATCCACAGTGGAATCCCTAAGATGGTTGGATAGCGTCTTATACTTCTCCTTCCAGCAAGTCCTGCAGCCAAGCTGGTGCCAAACGTATTGCTCTGCTTTCATTTGGACCACATCAGTGAGGCCGAGGGGGGGGGGGTTATCTCATCTGGGCAGCCCAGAACCTCCATACAAGCTGCCCAGACTTGCACGTCAGAGAGGTCACTTTGGTGCTGCTTAGGCAGCAAAAGCGACATGGGATGCAGCAGTTATGAGTTACCAGTCTCTGCAGCCACAGCAGGCGCTGTGATTCTCCGTTGTTTGACTTGACCACCAGAGGCAGACACCATTCTCTCTCGAGACAGAAGCCAGCAACAAGGTTCTTCCATGTCTTTAAGAGCTGTGTGACAAGCAGGACTTGTCAGTAACACATATTCCAGCATACAAGGGAAGGGAAAGCTTCACCTGTCGAATTTGTGCCTGATGTGCAGTTGTTAAAGGCACAATTAAAGACCTTGGCAAGCGTAAGTTCATGAAGTTGCTACCGTTCATGCAGCCAGACATTAGGTATTTGCAAGCAATTAATCAACACCATACTCCTATTAGTGTGCTATTTTGTCTCTAGCAAATAAAAAGTGGGATATATATATATATATATATATATATATATATATATATATATATATGAAATGAGTGAAACATTTGAAAACATGCCCCAGCATCTTCTCCTTAATAGCACTGTGTCCTGCTAAAATGAACTGGGCATGCTGAAGATGTCATTGTTGTATATCCCCCCCCCCTTCCTCTCAAACTTCAGGAATGTGGGAAGAGAAATGACATCCGCAGCTCAGAATGCAGAAATGTGCTGCTCTGGAGTACAGCTGTGTCATCAGAAGGCTGGAATGTACAGTATTGCTCAGCCCGTGAACATAGCTTTGGGCAGAGACATGTGTATAAGATCAACAGCACCTGCCTCCCAGTGGAACAGCTCAGCTGTTGTGATAGCTGATGATCTAAATTTAAGGTTCACACATGCTTGATTCTATTTAATACCCTGCAAATAACATTCAAAAGGGGAGGGGGGAGAGACCATGACCACAGTTCCGAACTGACAAATGTTAGCTTGCCTTTTCTCTTGATATTTGTGCCTGAGCACATATGTCTAGAGCGGCGCTGTTAACCAGTGAAGCTGTTCATTTCAGCCTCTCTTGGGTGTGGTGTGCAATGTACCCTCACCCCAGAAGGAAGACAAGATAAATTGGTCACAACTTTATTGAAATAACAAAAGGATCTGCAACAGGGAACTAAGCACCTGCGGGTTAAATTTGGGTAGGGAGCAAGAGAATGTTAAAAACCTTGCTTTCAATGTTTGGGCAACACCAACCTGGCTTGAACCCAGATCCTATCTTGAGAGCAGGTGGAGGTTCTCCTTGGCACCCAAGCACAAAGGTGAACTGAGCAGGGACATGTCCCCATTGTCCAGCCTTCAGCAGGATTAGCCTGCAGGTCCCAAGTCCACCAAACCAAGCAAACACCTCACAAAACAAGGTGACTGGTCATCCGGTCTTCCCCAAAGATGGCTCAGCTGTAAAGTGTGATTTCGTCGCAGGCGGCCCCTAATAATAATGATGATGATGATAATTTATTATTACTACATGGAACTGGCGGAAATGACTGGCAGAATCCGAGACCAGGGAGAAGAGTCGGTGGAAGAAGATTGGAAAAAATTCAAAGTATACTTACAAAAATATTGTAAAATTAATGAGTGTTAGAAGGATGTTGGAATGAAGTTATATGGTTTTAGTAGAAATGCAACAAAGAATTAAGTGAAAGCTGATTGATAACGGGTTAAAATGAAAAAATTTAAGGTTAGATCGTTAAGATAAATTATAGAAAAAAATTGAGGAAAATGGGAAGAATTTGCTGAAATAGTGACTCAAACTAGAATACAAAAAAAGGGAGGTGTGAGGAGGTCGATGAAACAAGTAAAGGAAAGGTAAAGACATGGAATATTGGATGTGTGTTTTAGTTTGTTTTTTTTTCTTCTTCTTTGTTTCTTTTTGTTGTATTGTTGTATTGCTTTTCTATGTTTTTTCTTTCTTTCTTATTGTTGTCTTTTTTCTTTTTTCTGTAAATTTTAAACTTTTAATAAATATCATTTTTTAAAAAAAGATAATTTATTATTTATACCCCGCCCATCTGGCTGGGCTTCCCCAGCCACTCTGGGTGGCTTCCAACAAAATATTAAAATACCATAACACATCAAACATTAAAAGCTTCCCTAAACAGGGCTGCCTTCAGATGTCTTCTAAAAGTCTGGTAGTTGTTGTTCTCTTTGACATCTGGTGAGAGGGTGTTCCACAGGGCGGGCACCACTACCAAGAAGGCCCTCTGCCTGGTTCCCTGTAACTTGACTTCTTGCAGTGAGGGAACTGCCAGAAGGCCCTCAGCGTTGGACCTCAGTGTCCGGGTAGAACGATGGGCGTGGAGATGCTCCTTCAGATGCCAAGGTGTGACAAAGTTGCAGCCAATGAAGCCAAATTAACCATGCACGCCTGATCAGAATAGCACAGAGTTGGCCCAAAAAAGACACCCCAAGGAGCCAGTCAGGGATGCCCCCCAAATTCAGTCACTGAGGGTGATTGGCTAATCCTGCACTGAACAGAGAGGGGGTGGGCAGGTTGCTGCCTGATGCTAACATGGAGGGGGAGGCAAAGTTACTTGTTCTGGGGGACAGTTGCTCGCCTCCCATTGGCCACCTAAGGTGGTGCACTGAGCAGCCAAGCCCCAGCCCTACCATGCAGGGAAAGCCCCTCCACCTAAGTCTTCATCCTTGCAGAGGGCCTGGGGGGCAAACTCTCTCCCCTTGCAATAAGCTGCAGAGGAGCTTATTGTAATAAGTTATATGGGAATTGTACCTTTTCAAGGCAAGCCCAGGGAAACCACACAAACCACATGAGATGATTGCATGTTCCTTAGAATAACTGAGCCTTCTATTCTTCTCCTCCATTTCTCACTCCACCTCCATTCTAATGTCTACCATAGTTGGTTGTCTTTTCAATAGAATGCCATGCCCATGCTAAGTGCAGAGAGGCATAAAAATATTGCATTTGTTCCTTTGGAGATATCCAAGTATGAGAGACATATGCTAAATGTGGTTTATTAATCATGATGGGAATTGAGATACTGTGGCATACTTTCGACATGAACACAAGCCAAAAAGCCTTCTTCAAATTCCTTTCCTGCTCTGGCAGGGAACAGCAAACAAGCCACAGCAGATATTCAAGTGTATTAGTGTAGCAGAGGAGTTTAAAATGCTTTAAAGGGGCAGGGAGGTAAATAGTTTAAGAAATTAGCAGCAAAATCTGATGCAGGTTTCTTCAGTCCCCATGGGTTGTAGGCATGGTACTTAGAGTAGACCCATTTAAATTAATGCACATGACTAACTTATGTTTAGTAATTTTGATGGGTCTACTCTGAGTAGGACCAGCGTTGGGTTCAACCCACTGTGTTTAATGGGGCTTACTCTGAGGTAAGTGTGTGTAGGAGAGTACTTCTGTGCATTCCCATGCAAACAGTGGTGCCTACTTCTGAGTAAACCTGCACAGGCTTGCATTGCCTAAGCTACTATCTGATGGACTCATTCCTTCCAAGTAAACGTGCATAGGATTGCATTGTAAGTAGAATAAACCAATAAATGCTGACACACGCCCACCACCACTGGAAATGGTGACATCACAAGAAACCCACAGCCAATGGCAATAGCTGGGGAGGCATCCTCTTCATTGCTTTGAGCCTCACAATGGTGGGTGGACCTATCAGTGATTGTGTGCTTGTTTATTCAGGAAGCGAGTGGCGCTGTGGTCTAAACCACTGAAGCTTTTGGACTTCCCAATAAGAAGGTTGGTAGTTCGAATCCTTGCAACGGGGTGAGCTCCTGTTGCTCTGTCCCAGCTCCTGCCAACCTAGCAGCTCAAAAGCACACCAGTGCAAATAGATAAATAGGTACCGCTGCGGCGGGAAGGTAAACGGCCTTTCCGTGTGCTCTGGTTTCCATCTGAAGTGGTTTAGTCATGCTGGCCACATAACCCGAAAAGCTGTCTGTGGACAAACGCCGGCTCCCTAGGCCTGAAAGTGAGATGAGCGCCACATCCCATACTTTCCTTTGACTGGACTTAACTGTCCAGGGATCCTTTACCTTTGCCTTACCTGTAGCCAAATAACATCTGGTAGGGATATGGGTTGATCACCATGAAGAGTGGACAGGGAGTATTGAGACAACATGTCCTATGCATTTGGGTCCCTTCCCTTGTCCCAAATCAACTTTTCCAGTAAGGATTGTGCTTTCATTCAGTACAGTGGATGCTTTCATCTTCACCAATACTATGCCTCATCGGTGGGGAAGCACCTCTCCCCAAGAAATAGTCGTCATCTTTTGCTGCCATTTTTGGATTCTGTTTTAACTAATCGCTCTTCCACCATCTTGGAATCTACTGAGTGGGTGGAATCCATTATTGTCTCATCTCCCTGCATTGTCTGGGCAGCTTCACTTATGCCCCCGCAAGCCCTCATTTTGGGTTTTTAAATTGTGATGGCATCATTAAAAACTCCTGAACCGTGTAGGGGGATCATTTCATGCGAAACGGTAGCGACGTAGAACGGGTTTCATGGCAAGGGGACAGTCTAGCCTGTAGACTGAATGGGGTGACTGTGCCCCTGAAGGACCAGGTGCGCAGCCTGGGAGTCATTCTGGACTCACAGCTGTCCATGGAGGCACAGGTCAATTCTGTGTCCAGGGCAGCTGTCTCCCAGCTCCATCTGGTATGCAGGCTGAGACCCTACCTGCCCGCGGACTGATCGCCAGAGTGGTGCATGCTCTAGTTATCTCCCGCTTGGACTACTGCAATGCACTCTATGTGGAGCTACCTTTGAAGGTGACCCGGAAACTACAACTAATCCAGAATGCGACAGCTAGACTGGTGGCTTGGAGCAGCTGCCAAGACCACATAACACTGGTCTTGAAAGACCTACACTGGCTCCCAGTACGTTTCCGAGCACAATTCAAAGTGTTGGTGCTGACCTTTAAAGCCCCAAACGGCCTTGGTCCAGTATACCTGAAGGAGCGTCTCTACCCCCATCATTCTGCCCAGACACTGAGGTCCAGTGCCGAGGGCCTTCTGGTGGTTCCCTCGCTGCGAGAAGCCAAGTTACAGGGAACCAGGCAGAGGGCCTTCTCGGAAGTGGCACCCGACCTGTGGAATGCCCTCCCACCAGATGTCAAAGAGAACAACAACTACCAGACTTTTAGAAGACATCTGAAGGCAGCCCTGTTTAGGGAAGCTTTGTTTAATAGAAATTTTTGATGTTCTGTAGGAAGCCGTCCAGAGTGGCTAGATGATGATGATGATGACGATGATTAACTGCCATGTTTGAATTGGACTACCCCGAACTCTGCATGGTGAATAATCACTACTGAAGCATGTCACACTCCCTAGCACTCAAAGCATTGTTCCTCAAAATTGCCCTCTCTTTTTATTTTGCAGATCCACGTATTTGTGTACTCACAATTTCATTGGTGAATCCTTAAAAAAAGAGATGTAAACTAAGGCCTCAGCTAATTTATGCTCATCTCTAAAACATCCTAAGAACTCTGGGATGGTTTCACCCTGCTGGAGAGTGCACAAATAGCATTCACAGAAATACTGGAGTCTTTGCCAGCTATGCCCTAGTGCCCACAGGTGAGTATAAATGCGTGGCATTTCATATTTATGTATAACAGGACTATGTAGTTAGCTGAGATATTCTAGTCTCTGACCTTTCAATGCACATTCTATCCCCACCCCTCTCTGTCTGTCTGTCTGTCTGTCTATCTGTCTGTCTGTCTCTCTGTCTAACTACAAACATACATACCACCTCGAGCTCTTTGGAGGGATATAAAAGCAATGATAAGTAAATAAATGCATAAAATGGAATAGAATAAACTTTAAGAATCCATGGACTGAGCAAAGCAGGATCCTGGTCCGACTGCACTGGCTACCAATTAGTTTCCAGGCCCAGTTCAAAGTGCTGCTTTTGACCTATAAAGCCTTAAATGGCTCAGGACCGCAATACCTCAAGGACCGGCTCTTTCCATATGAACCTACTCAGACCCTGAGATCATCTTCTGAGGTCCTCCTTTGTGTGCCTCTCCCTGAGAGGTCCGGAGGGTGACAACACAAGAACGGGGCCTTCTGTGCAGTGGCTCCTCATCTGTTGAATGCTCTCCCCAGGAAAGTTCGCCTGGAGCCTTCATTATACACTTTTCGTTACCAGGCAAAAACATCCCTTTTCAACCAGGCCTTTGGCTGATCCGATTTACATCCTGTGCCCTTTTAAAATGTGGGGGGGGGGGGGTTGGAGGGGGGATATTGGTCTGTTGTTTTATTGTCATTGGGGATCTTGTGGTTTGATATCTTGATTTTATTCTGTGAACCGCCCTGAGACCCTTGGGTATAGGGCAGTATATAAAGAAGAAGAAGAAGAAGAAGAAGAAGAAGAAGAAGAAGAAGAAGAAGAAGAAGAAGAAGTACTCTGGAATGCTGCTGTAATTGCATAACACATACTGTTATTTATTGTTTACTGAAAGGTTTTTGAGATTTTTATAACCAAATAACCCTCCTTCTAATTAAACAGCTTTACTGTATTTATATGTAATAGTAATAATTTATTATTACGGTCAAAGACCACTTCAAGAAGCACAATTGAGACTGCTATCACAAGAGTGAAATGGACATTTAAAACAATATACAATAACAGCTTATAGATTAAATTTAAAATAGTCGTGTGTACACAAAAAGACCTTAGGTTAAGCTAACATGCAGATATATGTCCATATAGGGCCAACCCACATGTAAATGAACCACACATGTGATAACACTGAACGACAAGGCCACCTCCTGAACTGCAGTTCCATGAGACAAGCTCTGTCTGGTGATACACAGCATTTATGTTCAAGTACCAGACATGCTTCTGGGAGTCACTCCATGTCTAAAAATGGCAACACAACACAGAGATGATAGAGCACCAGGACTAGGAAGGATGTCCATGTGAAATGTATATTTTGCCCTTTTCCGGCATACCTGGGCCTTCAGTAAGCTAAAGGTGTCCGTGGAATTCTAACAACTTGCAAAGAAAGTCTGGCTATGTTTAAAGATACAGCTTCAGTTCAGAAAGCATTCATTTCAGAATCCTGTGCAGGAGTATGTGTTCATATAAGGAGAATCCGGTGCTTATGAGTCTAGGTGTTTGGCCAACCAATCACAGAATTATGGAATATTTTTGGCATAGTTCTCTGGATAATTACACTGGTGTTGGGAATCAAACCCTGAAGAAAGAGAAAGGAACATGTACCTGTTTTGCAACAGGCTGAATCTTGCTATTTCTCAGCACTTTGGTATTAAAAATAAACAAATACCGTGAAGAATGGCGCCAGGTTGCTTAGCTGAGGCACCAGAAAGCTATCTACCATATATCTACAGCATTGTAATGCCAGAGCCAGATTACATGATGTCTAATGTATTGGCTGAGATGCTTGCGGTGCTGAGCAAACGATTCTGGAAGCCAAACCTTTCTCTAGTCTACATTAATAATTCCCAAAGATCAAGTGCCAATTTGTGACTTGGTTGGGCTTGCTTCCAACATTTGAGTCTGGACAGGAAACATGTAGTATTTATTTTAGGTGTTGAGCAATACATCATGATATTGCCACATCGACAACAGCTTGAAATCGTGACAGAGCCGAGGCAATCGTACACTTAGGTCCCATCTGCACTATATGTTTAAAGTAGTATTATATCACTTCAAACAGTGATGGCTTCAAACAAGGAATCCTGGAAACTGTGGTTTGTAAAGGGTGCAGAAAGATTTTACTGTTCTCCCAAAGCTTCAGTTCCCAGAGTGGTTTATGAATCAATCCTTTTTCCCATGGAACTCCAGAAATGGTAGTTCTGTGAAGGAAATAAGTAACTACATGGCCTTTAGAAGATATCTGAAGGCAGCCCTAATAAGAGAAGTTTTTTAATGTTTCATTATGTTTTTATGCATGTTGGAAGCTGCCCAGAATGGCTGAGGCAACCTAATCAGAATGGCGGGAAATAAAACAACAACAACAACAACAGAATAGGATGCCCCCATTTTCATTGGAGAAATGTTGGAGGGTGTGAAAGTCTTAAGAAGTCTCAGCACCCTTACAAGCTACAGTTCCCAGGGTTCTTTGAGGAAAACCAAAAACTGTTCAAAGTGGTATAATACTGCTTTATAGTGCAGATGGGGCCATAATCTACCAAATCCATAAAGTCACACCAGCCTCTTTCTTTGCCAGTATCAACCTATTTATAAGTATAAATTTCCATGCCAACGTATTCACAAATATAATCGTCATGCATTTTACATCATTCAGCTTTAACATAAAGTCTGCCTCCCCACCATAATATAAGCTTTTTCTTCTGTGTTCCAGGCTCTACAGGTCTTAAGCCCCTCCTGTTATCGCATTTGCTGAGGGAGAAGGCTGGGTCATCTCCTACTGCTGTATACAACAGAGAGACGCTGTGGAATGTCTGTCCTTTATTTTATCCATAGATTAGACTTGCTCTGATTTTCCATAAGGGACAAACTTCTCTACTTCAGTGTAGAAGAGTTCTGTGCACATTGTTGGTGGGCAGAAATACCATGGTGTGCTGGTCCTGGGGGCTAACTGAGAGTCGAGGTCCGAGTCCAGTCCGAAGTTGATGGTGCAGTATGGAGGCTGTCCATCAAAGCTGTAGCTGGGTCCAAGGCAGGGAGTCAGGTGGGGTCAGGAACTCTGGCAGAAGAGCAGGACAGGGTGCAGGCAGGAACAGGCTAGCAACAACATTGCTCCCGCAACCTGGGACTGGGGCTGACTGGCTTTTATCTGCCCCGAGGCATAGGGCGGCCCCGGTCCACAGGTGACTTGCCTCTCCTGGCCTGGAGGCGAGCACTCCTCCTGCAGGAACTTAGTTCCCTCCGCCTCTCTGCCCTGAGCCTCTGCAGCTCAGGAGAGGCTGGAGGGTTACCGGACCCAGAGGCAACCTCCTCTTCCCCTGATGGGGCTGAGAGTGGAGCACCTGCAGGCAATGGGTCCTCCATCACCTCAGGGGCCAGAGCAGACTCAGCTGGTGCCTGCACCTGAGGATCCAGCACAGGTGAGGGCCCTTCAGGTTCAAGCCCCAGCCCCGGCTCAGCTGGTTCTGGAGGCGGGGACTCCTGTGCAGGCTGGAATTCCTCAGGTTCAACCTCTGAGTCCGAATCCCAGGCCATCTGAACAAAGGTGGAGGGTGACCCATGTCCAAGCACATTCGCATATCCTCCAACATTTCTCCAATGAAAACAGGGATGTCCTAAGGAAAAGCGGGACATTCTGGGATCAAATAAAAAACATGGACCATTTCTGTAAATCTGAGACTGGAAAATAGGGACACGTGGAGGGTTTGTATCTGGTGTTGTGTCACTCCACAACCACTGGTATGAAGGTAGTTTCACGCCATATGGCATGATATCGACCCAAAAGTCACAGCTCCATAACGCAAAAGATAATGCAGTGTAAAAGGAACAGCAGAAACCAGGACAGATGTGCTAGCATTAAAACCAGGAAAACTAAAGCAATAATATCAATGTGTGAATGCACCCCTTGTCTGCTAAGTGCATCCTTAAACTATGCAATTTGCTCCTTCAAGATGTTGTGATGGCAACTAACTTGAATGGATTTTAAATGAGTTTAGACATATTCATGGAGAATGAGGCTCTCAGTGCCTACCAGAGGTAAGGTAAAGGACCCCAGGATGATTAAGTCCAGTCAAAGGTGATTATGGGGTTGCGGTGCTCATCTTGTTTTCAGGCCAAGAGAGCCAGCCTTTGTCCAAGACAGCTTTCCAGGTCATGTGGCCAGCATTATTCAACCGCTTCTGGCACAACGGAATACTGTGACGGAAACCAGAGCGCACGGAAACACCATTTACCTTCCCACCGCAGCTGTACCTATTTATTTACTTGCACTGGTGTTCTTTCAAACTGCTAGGTTGGCAGGAGCTGGGACACAGTAACAGAAGCTCACCCCGTTGCGGGGATTCGAACTGCCAACCTTCTGGTTGGCAAGCCCAAGAGGCTCAGTGGTTTAGACCACAGCGCCACCCATGTCCCCTACCAGAGTACAAACTCTCCATTGTCAGAGGCAGCATGCCTCTGGATATCAGCTGTAGGGCATCCCAAGTGAGGAAAATGCTATTCCATAGATGTCCTTTGCAGGCTTCCCACTGGCATCTCCTTGGCAACTGTAAGAATGGGATGCTGGACTACTTTGAAGACTGAAATAAATCGATCTTTGAAAGTTGTGATAGACAAGCAAACTGTGTGCTCCTCAAGGGACAACTCACACAACCAAATATATGTGGGCCATTTAATGCCCCCAGTGAACATTAGAAAAGATAGCAGGGAGGAGAATAGATGGTCACATAAAAATATGGCTGAAGCAATGAGAACTGGTGAATGTATTGGGTTGCAAATGAGACTTGTGGCGTAGACATGCCTTAATGATGTATACTATTGTAATACAAAGGTACATATCAGATTGGGGATTTGGGGAAGAAGATGAAAGGCAGAAAAGAGTTATATATCATACTGTAACCAGACAATTTGGTTGTACATTTAAGGTTTAAGACTGTCAGTTTCCAAAAGTTATTTCAGTTTGTCTGCTGTTAAAAAAAGATGAAACCAGATTTAAGGCTACTGTTTTCTCCATTAAAGATTAAGATACTATAAGCTTGCAGTAAAAACAGTGGTCAGTAACCTGAGCAGAGTGCTAATGAGACTTTTTCAGCGTAAGGTTATGAAACTATTTCAGGCAGTAAAAAAAAGGACTATTGCTGTGATGTATAATGAGCTGTCCACATTTAAACCTCAAGCATATTCAGACAAGCTAAATTATACTGCAAAAGGGGGGGTATATAATGCCATAGGATTAACTTCCCACTCAGGAGACAGATGCAACAATACGGAGAAAGCTGAGAAATTATTTTCTTGTAATAGCAGAGCTATGAAAGACTCCAAGCATTCTCTTTTGGAGTGAAATTTATAACACGTATTTATTAGCTTGTTAGCTCAGAGGCCATGAGTGACAATAGACTAAAATAAGAAATGGCTATTATGAGAAGTGTCGTGGAATCTGCTCACAAAGAGGGGCTTCCCAACGCCCACATTACACTGGACTGAAGATGATTCCTCAGAAGTTTTTCCCCCGTTGTTCTCCATGAGAAATGCCTATTTCTCCACGAGAGAGAGTTGCAAGGATTGCTGAGGAGGGGGTGTTCTCAAGGGCCACTGACCCTCAGTCTCCTGAGACGTGAGGTCCCCCCCTCCGTTTTCCCTATTCTCATATCAGTTGTAGAGTGTTTAGTTACATGGAGGAGCAGACCTGAGATTGCAGTATCACCACAGTCTAGATTATTTAACCCAATAAAGCTATTTTACTGATGAAATACAGAGAAATGAAAACAATGAGGAAATAGCAGGCAGTTTAAGGGCAGGGGCAAAGAATAAAGCTACGTTTAATGCTCTGGCTTTTGATGGTGCCTCCAGGCTGTCAGTAAAACATACATAAGGATGCTTAGTTTGGTCAGAATCGAGCGTACACCTCCAGAGTTAACACTAAATACATTTGTTGTTGTTGTTGTTTAGTCGTTCAGTCCTGTCCGACCCTTCGTGACCCCATGAGCACGGCAGGCACTCCTGTCTTCCACTGCCTGCCGCACTTTGGTCAGACTCATGCTGGTAGCTTTGAGAACACTGTCCATCCATCTCATCCTCTGTCGTCCCCTTCTCCTTGTGCCCTCCATCTTTCCCAGCATCAGGGTCTTTTCCAGGGAGTCTTCTCTTCTCATGAGGTGGCCAAAGTATGGGAGCCTCAGCTTCAGGATCTGTCCTTCCAGTGAGCACTCAGGGCTGATTTCCTTAAGAATGGAGAGGTTTGATCTTCTTGCAGTCCATGGGACTCTCAAGAGTCTCCTCCAGCACCATAATTCAAAAGCATCAATTCTTCGGCGATCCGCCTTCTTGATGGTCCAGCTCTCGCTTCCATACATCACTACTGGGAAATCCATAGCTTTAACTATACAGACCTTTGTCAACAAGGTGATGTCTCTGCTATTTAAGATGCTGTCTAGGTTTGTCATTGCTTTTCTCCCAAGAAGCAGGCGCCTTTTAATTTTGTGACTGCTGTCACCATCTGCAGTGATCATGGAGCCCAAGAAATACATTACTTCTGGTAAATAAGCCACCATAGCCACTAGAGGGCCATTAATATTTGTGCCCCAGGCTGTTTAGACTCACAGGACTGCCATACATTTGAAATTTCCCGGACATAGCCTGGATGCGATCCTCGTAAACTGCGTCTGGACAGAAGTCCCTGAAATGTATGGACGTGTGGCAACCCATGTCGGAAGTGTAGACTTTGGCTCAAAGCTTCTTCTTTTTTTTAGATTTGGCATTATTTTCAGCTGTCCTACCTCACTAGTCAGGTAAAACTGTAGATGGTCACAGGATCGTGACAGAGAATCCCACCCTTACTTTGAAAAAGTAGGAGGTCAGGGGTGCTGCAGCCAGAATCTTCTATTATGCAAGTACAGCAGTACCTTGGTTCTCGAACGGAATCTGTTCAACTTCTGAAAACGTCCGAAAACCAAGGCAGGGCTTCCGATTGGCTGCAGGAGCTTCCTGCATTCAATTGGAAGCCATGTTGGATGTTTAGCTTTCCCTTAAAAAGTTCACAAACCAGAACACTTACTTGCGGGTTTTGGTCCGTTTGGGAGCCAAAACATTCAAGTCACAAGGCGTTCGAGACCCAAGGTACAACTGTATATCCTTGCTGAGTGAATAGTTGATCCTGAGCACACCAGGTGCCCACACACAGCAATTATCCTCTCAGCAACGACATACTTTCATGGTGCTACCTGCAGCAGTTTCGTTGCTACCTCATAGGGGTGAAAGGTGAGGCAGGAATTCCCTCCCCCCCCTTTCATTGTCATAATGTAACTGGTGACAGTTTCACATGCTATACCATTTCACTAGCCACCACTGTTGTCTTAGCTTCAGAAATGTATATTCTTCAGGCAGGTCACTGGACCCCAATGGTAGCAATATTCAGCTTGGTGAAACTATAGCTGCCTTAAAAAGGTAAAGAGACCCCTGACCATTGGGTCCAGTCGTGGCTGACTCTGGGGTTGCGGCGCTCATCTCGCTTTATTGGCCGAGGGAGCCGGCGTACAGCTTCCGGGTCATGTGGCCAGCATGACTGAGCTGCTTCTGGCAAACCAGAGCAGCGCACGGAAATGCTGTTTACCTTCCCGCCGGAGCGGTACCTATTTATCTACTTGCACTTTGACATGCTTTTGAACTGCTAGGTTGGCAGGAGCAGGGACTGAGCAACAGGAGCTCACCCCGTCGTGGGGATTCGAACCACCGACCTTCTGATCGGCAAGTCCTAGGCTCTGTGGTTTAACCCACAGCGCCACCCGCGTCCTTATATAGCTGCCATAGGCCTTCACTAAAAATGGGTGTAGCGTCCTTTTAGTATTAATGTCTCTGACATCATTGGCTAGTGATCACCTGTAGCTCTTCCTATTCTACAGCCTTTAGTAGAGGTGGCCCATCCTGTTTTGCCACCTGAGGCAAAATGGGAATTGCTACCCCTGGCCACTGGCCCCCAAAACCTGAGGTACTTCCACTGCCTAAGGTGAGGGCTTCATCCCACCTTGGGACTCTGGCCTTTAGGCAACATTTTCCAGCTGGAGAACCACATTCCCTCATGGGGTACATTCCAGTGTCCGCACAGCAGCAGTGGGTGGGAACAGAGACAAAAGTGGGTGGGGGAACCAATGCCACTTTTACCTTCGTGAAGTAGGATTTTTACATTGGAATGGTCATGTTCTTTGGATGCCTGATTGTCGTCTTCCAAAGCAACTACTCTATTCCCAACTTAAAAATGGAAAGTGTAATGCTGGTGGTCAACAAGACAGGTTTAAAGACTCTCAAGGCAAATCTTAAAAAATGTAGTATAAACACTGACAACTGGCCTGCGAGTGCTCCGACTGGAGAACAGCCTTCATCAAAGGTGTCATGGACTTTGCAGATGCTCAAACTCAGGACAAAAGCGAGAAATGTGCCAAGAGGAAGGCACGCTTGGCAAATCCTCACCATGATCAACTCCCACCCAGAAACCTATGTCCCCACTGTGGAAGGACGTGTGGATTCAGAATTGGCCTCCACAGTCACTTACGGACTCACTGTTAAGACCGTGTTCATAGAAGACAATCTTACTTGGCTATGAGTGATCACCAAAGAAGAAGGAGATTAAGTCAAACACACCTGTCCACACCGAGGCAAGAAAGAGGTACTATTACATTTCAAGGACACATTCCAATCAGGCAGCGGAGGAGGAGCAGAGGAGTACTCTAGGGAGAATCACTAGGGGTGGATACAGAGGCTTAGAGGACGTTATTTGACTCCTCAGCCTGAGGTTCTCCACTCCTGTTTTATTTTAATAATAATAATAAAATTCTCCACGTTGTGGCACAGCGATTTCAGAGTGGGCTACAACTACAGTCACTTACAGCATGGCAGGTAATCCACAACCAGCCAAATAAAGCACCCACAATGACATGCTTAGATGACTCTTAGCCTGGAAAACACTGGCCGCTTAGGACCATTCTGCACAGTTGCTCTGACCACCTGGTGGTGGTGATTTGGCTATTATTACCAGACTCGAATAATTTACGAAGACTAAAGTCTTGTACTCGCTTGGAAAGAGGTTGAGATCACATATGCTTAGGCATGAGATTGTAATACTCATAACCCCTGCTTCCTTTGATAAACTTCCATTAGCTCTCCTGTCCCTGTTTTCCATCTCTCCTTACAGACCTATTGAGGATTATGAAGGAAGATTGTGGAAGAAAACAAAGGAGATTGTAGCATGTAGGCTGTGCAGCATTTAAACAGAGAATGCCCTTTTTCACTCAGAAGAAAATCTTTCTTATCTTCATGTGCAGTCAAGGGTTCATTACAGGTTAAGGAAGGTTAAGACTGTATAAATATCAATTGCTGCAATGAGGAAGATTATGTTTATGTGGTACTGCTGCATTCACCAGGCATTTATGTTATGTTTCTACCTTGTTGGGTTATTCAGGACATATTGTTTAACTTCAGTGACGCTGAACATAACCTGATGTGCCCTCTTAAACTGCACTTGGAAGAAGGTAGCTCCATTGTGACCTGTTCAAAGAGCAACAGACTTTGAAATTCATTCATATCCTGTGTTTATATGCTCTGGTTCTGCCACAAGTAGCTTTTGTATTATTTACTATAGCATTCCTCTGGAACAGTGATGGGAAGTGTATGGATCTCCAAATGTTTTCTGATTGCTACTCATATCTCTCCTGACCACTGGCCATGTTGTTGGGGCTGATGGGAGTCACAGTTAAACAAAATATGGAGGGGCACAGGTTAGCTGAGGTGAAGTCTCCTCTGCTGAGCTTTAGGTACAAACATGTCTTTTTTTTTGAATTTTGTATCCTGAACTTTCCATGAACGAATTGTTGTAGACTCTTTACCTTCACCTCCTGTGAACTAGTGATCATTTTCATTTGATGGAGTGGTGACAAAGGCCAAAGGAAAGTGTTTTCCTGACAGATGCGTCATGAGTTCTCAACTGACCTTGGATTGGGATTCCTGCCTCAGGCAATGTCTGTCATTTGGTCCACCCAATAAGCACACAATGTTATTATTTGTCTTCTAGGGGCTGTGTCCCTGCTTGCATCACTCACCAACCCTGTCTAGCTTATGCTCCTCAGCCCTTCATGGTTCCCACATCTGCTTTCCCATCCTAAAACTCCTTTCTATACCCTCAATAATTCAGTTGGTTTGAGTGTAGTGCTGATGATGCCAAGGTTGCAGGTTCGATCCCCGGATGGGACAGCTGCATATTCCTGCATTGCAAGGGGGTTAGACTAGATGATCCTCAGGGTCCCTTCCAACTCTACAATTCTATGATTTTTTACACCTTGCCAAGCTCTCTGCCTCTCTTTGAATCTTGCCAATAAACCACCCCTCTCCCTTTGCACCTCACAAACCCCGCCTCCCCCAGCCCTCATGCTTCTAGTAGTGTGGACCAGCAAACCTCTTTATCCCCCTCCACCTCACTCACAGCAGCAAGAGCTATTATCTATGACAGCTAAATGGAAATTCCATTTTCAGAGGCACTATTGCTCTCTGCTACACACTTGAGATAAAGAACAGACCAAGACTGACAAGGTCTTCCAGCCTTGCTTGTCAGATATTGGTTTGCTAATGCTGGAAGCAGCGATAATATTCTCAATGCAATTTTGGCATGATCCGAAAGAGCTCTTTTGTTTGTAAGAACCCTGTTCCCATTCATCCTGACAAAAGCAACGAGGAACACGCCATTTCCATCTTAAAGAAACTGAACCGTACTGAAAGATGGCCGCTTGCCCAAGACAGCTTAATGAGCGTGTGCCATAATGGCCGTCTCAAACAGAGGGTTTCCTGTGTCCACATCACCAGCCAATAGATCACATGACTCCGACAGATGAATGCTCGCTTCTTATTCTCAGGTTCAACATAACATTTCCGATGGACTTCCCTCTCCTATGTTCAAAGTGGGACATCATAATCTCACCACAAGCTCTCCTTTTCGTTGGGGATAATGCAGACGGAAATTCCCAGGTTTCAAAAAAGGTTATTGTCAGGGAACTGACATCGGAGCTAGAGGAGGAGGGAAGGCTCTCAAATGATGCTGGAGAAGGGCCCAGCAGGGAGAGAGGCAGCTCAGCAGATGGGGAAGCAAATCAGCGCAACACCAGGGATAAAGGGGGGCAGATGGGGGAATCGGCGAGAGGGCTCCAGGACTCTTCACCGGACACCAGCGGGGAGAGCACCGGTCCTCCGCTACCCACGCCCTCCCTGCGCAGAAGGCTTCCGCGCAGGGAGAGTAGGAGGAGACTTGGCGTCAAACAACTTTTATGTTGGAAAAGGTTTAAGAAATGCCCACTGACGGATTCTGCTAGCGACTAAGGCAGCCACGAAGTGAAGGGCTGTCCAGACAGAAAGGCTTAACAAGGCAACATAGCCAGGAGAGGCGGCAACTTACGCACGAGCAACCCATACTCATTACAGTTATTTATGTATGCCACTACTGTGGTCCATGTTTTGTTAGCCCCCAAATGGAAAACAAGAGAGGTCCCAACTAAAGAAGAATGGCAACTTAAGCTGATGGATTTGTGGACTTAACATATAGAATAAGAGAACAAGACGAACATAGATTTAGAGAAGATTGGAAAATGTTTATTGAATATAGGGGAGGAGGAATTGTATACACCTGAAAACATTAGCAACATTAAGAAAAATTCAACAGTGTAAATAAGTTCTGATGGATGTAATAATGGAATACTGAATGGTTTAGTTTATGTAAAATATGAAGGGATTTGTGACTTGCAAAATGAACCATGGAAAGAGAAAAGGGAAATCATTGATATTTTAAGGATGTTTAAATGAGTATTCTAAATTGTAAAACAGAAAATTTAATAAAAATTATATACAAAAAAGGAAGAAAGTGGGACGTCATAATCTCACCACTTTTCTTCATGCGTGTTGTATTCCTATTGTCATGCTCAGCTTGGTACATGCATGAAACAGAAGAGATGATGGTCCAAAAGACCGTGGGAGAGAGAATGCTGGTGGATCGGTCATGGAAAAAGAAGATCAACCACAATTCTGGGAGTTCTGGATGCATATGCCAGAAATAATATCCAAGGGAAAGTAATGATATCACACACTGTTTCTGCTTTCGATCTCTCTGGGGATTACATCTGCAGAAGGTAACAACCAGTGGTTCATTGCATTCCAGTAAGACCGTACATGCACAGGCCATATGCTATCTAATGCATCTTGCTGAAAGATTAGAACCTAAATGCTTATACGTCAATGCATATTGATTGATGTAAAGTAGTGTGATGGGTGCAACCTTGCTTTGCTTTGCAGTTAAGCAGTAAAATTCATCAAAGCGTGAATTCTGCTGTGATACAGCTTCTTCTGTTTGCATAAGGAAAATGGCTCAAGCAGCAGAGAGGCATCTAAAAATACACACAAGGCTCCAGAAATAATCAGGAAATAGAGAAAGCAGAAGCAGGTCTGATATGGCCAGCCAAGACACGGCAAACCTAAGATATTTACATGATTGAGTGAAATATACTGATGGAACTTTATACAGCCGATAGTTGTTATACTACCTGGAGTCTTCATGCATCTCTAGTGGGTTGTAGGCTGATTCCAAGTGAGTCCTTGAACAAACATGCTGCAGTGGATTGCTCCTGTTCAGGGTGCCAGCCAGCCAGCTGTGCGATGCTTTCCTTATGTACACAAGAATGCACAATCATAGAATCATAGAATCATAGAATCATAGAATCATAGAATCATAGAGTTGGAAGAGACCACAAGGGCCATCGAGTCCAACCCCCTGCCAAGCAGGAACACCATCAGAGCACTCCTGACATATGGTTGTCAAGCCTCTGCTTAAAGACCTCCAAAGAAGGAGACTCCACCACACTCCTTGGCAGCAAATTCCACTGTCGAACAGCTCTTACTGTCAGGAAGTTCTTCCTAATGTTTAGGTGGAATCTTCTTTCTTGTAGTTTGGATCCATTGCTCCGTGTCCACTTCTCTGGAGCAGCAGAAAACAACCTTTCTCCCTCCTCTATGTGACATCCTTTTATATATTTGAACATGGCTATCATATCACCCCTCAGATCACATGGTCACTGTTGCTGTACAGGATTCATGTACCCCAAGCCAAGTAGATGGTGAAAAGAGCAGGACAACAGAAGAATCATAGATCTGTCGTTCCACGGGCTCTGCCGACATGCGAACTGCTCAGGTTCCATGCTGCTGAACTTCATTGTGTCACTGAACTGAATGCACCGAAGTGACTCGGACAAAAGCAGATGAGGTCTGCATAACTTTGCATGAGCTGAGCTGCACACAGAGGCAGCCGTGTGGCAGAGAATCGGTACAATCCCAAGTGCTCAGGAAATATTCGTTCCAATCACAATTCAGCTCAAGGGACCTCTAGACAAATGTAGCGGCTGGTAACCTTAGATGCTGATGATAGATGTCCCCATCAATACGAAAATATGCATCCATTTCATTAGGGCCCAGATGTGCATGTAGAACATGGCCTGAACAGAGGAGATTGTACGTTTAGTACAGTGGTGCCCCGCAAGACGAATGCCTCGCAAGACGGAAAACCCGCTAGATGAAAGGGTTTTCCGTTTTGGAGGTGCTTCGCAAAACGAATTTCCTATGTGCTTGCTTCGCAAGCCGAAAATGTCTTGCGAGTTCCTGCGGGGTTTTTTTTCCTCCCCCCCCTTTTTCCCAAGCCGCTAAACCGCTTATCAGCTGATCGGCTAAGCCGCTTAACAGCTGATCGCTAAGCCGCTTATCAGCTGATCGTTAAGCCGCTTAACAGCTGATCGCTAAGCCGCTTATCAGCTGATCGCTAAGCCCGCTATGCCGCTAATACTGTAGCGCTAATCCGCTAAACCGCTAATGGGCTTGCTTCACAAGACGAAAAAACCCACAAGACGAAGAGACTCGCGGAACGGATTCTTTTCGTCTTGCGAGGCACCACTGTATAACGTTTTTCCAGAAATATATATATATATTTAACTGAATTTGGTGGGGTGTGATTTATTGTTGTACATATTGTCCCTCCATGAGAATGAATTCTTGAAATGTTAGCCCCAGGAACTGCAAGGAATCCTTGGGAAGACAGGCCTCACAGTCTTCATTTGAGAGGTGGAGAAGGATGACTGAATTAATGCTGTAACTTCACCAAAAGTTATTTCCAACCTGTGGATAATCCAGCAGAAGTGAGAGCTTTAAGACCGTTCTGAATTTCCCAAATAGCAAACTATGACTAAACTGCCAGGCCATTGTTCTTTTTCCTCCGGAGATGTAAAACAAACCATAGCAACCACTCATGCTATATAAACAGTTATGATAAACCTGCATTTTCCTCACTGAACGTGGCACAAGGATTATGACAGCCGAACGCCTTCTTGATGCAGAGCTGCTTAAAAAGCAAGGTTCTTTACATCACAGGAGAACGTAAATGAAAGAAGCAGCTTCATCTTCTCATCCCCTCCCCTTCCCCTGCTTCTGTTTGACTTTTCCGATTCAGCAGTGAATGCTGAAAAGTCTCTGGGAAGGGAACTTCAGAAGAGATCCCAAGATGAAACTACTAAATTAGAACATATCAAGAAGTTTGATTCTATTCCTCTGGGTCTGGATCACCACAATATTTTCCTGTCCCACTTAGAGATGCAAAGGCTTGGAGGGGAAAGTGGGGGAAATTGTGGGGAAATCCCCCATTTTTCTGTTCCCCCATATACAGAATGAGTCCTTTAAAAGAGGCCCCATGGATACAGGGTACACATGTTTCATGGGGCCGCTTTTAAAAGACTCATGTTTAATAAAACATTAAACATTTTTAAAAAAAATAAAATTCCCCAAGCACGACTGCCTTCCAATGTCTTCTAAAGGTTGTAAGGTAATAAGGTGAAGGACCCCTGGAGAGTTAAGTCCAGTCAAAGGCAACAATGGGGTTGTGGTGTTCATCTCACTTTTCAGGCAGAGGGAGCCGGCGTTTGTCCGCAGACAGCTTTCCGGGTCATGTGGCCAGCATGACTTAACCGCTTCTGGTGCAACAGAACACCGTGACAGAAACCAGAGTGCACGGAAATTGCGTTTACCTTCCTGCCACGGCAGTACCTATTTATCTACTTGCACTGGTGTGCTTTCGAACTGCTAGGTTGGCAGAAGCTGGAACAGAGTAACGGGAGCTCACCCCGTCGCGGGGATTCAAACTGCTGACCTTCTGATTGGCAAACCCAAGAGGCTTGGTGGTTTAGACCACAGCACCATCCGTGGCCCGAATAAACAAGCACACAATCACTGATAGGTCCACCTGCCATTGTGAGGCTCAAAGTGATGAAGATGATGCCTCCTCAGCTGTTGCCATTGGCTGTGGGTTTCTTGTGATGTCACAAAAGCACTTGGCAACTGTTTGGATATACAGGCAGGCCAAGGGGAAAGCCCTTTTTTATTTATAGCAGGACACACCTGGCAATGGATGTGACATTCAGCACTGCCCAGGTTTCTTCCACTTGGAGGAGGCAAACTGGTGAATGGAAGGAGGCAATCCTCTGGCAGTGGGATGCTAGGGAGCGATAATAAGGCAAGTTGGCTTGCTTGAAGGCCGCTGGTACCCGCGATTAGAAGCTGGCGGACGTGCCACCCGTGTCCCTTTTAAAAGTTGTACTGTTACTTAGCTCCTTGGCTTGGGGGGGGGTTTCACATAACTCCATACCCTCCAACATTTTTCCAATGAAAATAGGGTTTCCCTACCATACCCTCCAACATTTCCCTGATGAAATTAGCGACGTCCTGAGGAAAAAATGGGACATTCCAGGATCAAATCAGAAACAGGGATGGCTTTTGTAAATCTGGGACTATCCCTGGAAAATGGGGACACTTGGAGGGTCTGTTGTAGGAGTGTGGCATGCGAGAGCAAACAATTTGCAGGAGCAAATGATTAGTCGTAGGCTGAGGGGGGAATAAAAAATAGCTACAGATTTATTGGTTATACTTCACAGGCCTGTCATAAGGGCAGCCTGATTGATGCCTGGTGAGAACAACCATCTCAGTCTGAGTGAGCAAGTAAGTTTGTAGATGATTCATAAACAAACAAAAACAAACAAGGGGACAATAAAATACAACTCATATTTTAGCCAAATATATGTACATACACACATCCACATGCCAGCAGCCAGCACAGTAGACCAGCTTTCTCCAATGTGGTGCTTTCCAGATGTTTTGGACTACATTTCCCATAAGCCCTTAGCCAATTGTAAGGGATTATGGGAGTTGTAGTTAAAACTTGTTGGGGAAGCTGTGTCCAGTGACTTGAATCAACAGCACAACATCACCTCCAATGTAACATTGCCAATATCTGGTCAGGCCAATCACTTGGTAGAGTCACTGGAAGCCTCCTGACAGGAAGGAGACAAAGTCCCTTCCTGTCTGACATTTAAGCTACTTTAAGAGCCTGAATGTAGTCTGCTTGGGGTTGTTGAAGTACAAGCTAGCAAATGTGACAATTGTTGCAGGATTGAACTCAAAAGCAGCCTCCTCTGTTCTCCACTCAAGTTCATGTAGACTTTTTCATTACATAATTTCTCAGACTTTCTTTTCCGCCCACTAGAGTTGCTTTTGGGTCTTTGAACTCCCTTGCCTCCTTATTTAACAGACACAAGAAGTGATATTATTCACATGAAGTACCTCAGCTCTCATCATAATTTGGATAATTATGATAATCTGTTTCCCTGCTTTCCCCTTGAAAAACAAAACATTGACTTTTAGCCCCAAATGTCCCCAATCTCATGTACCTCTTCAATGAATGTGCAGCAAATATTCACAATCTTTGACATACATGCTTTAATGCTGCCAGATAACAAATTTTCTTCCTCCTTCCTCTCACTCAGTATCCTGTAATGATATCTTGGTAGGTGGAACCCGCTGAACCAGCCATTAACAAGTCAGGAACCAAAAAGAGGCATCTAGGGGGACTTCCGGGTTGGCGCCACCAGCAATGGCGGAATTCCTCTGATCGGGAGGAATTTGCCTCGTGGAAATTCGGGTCTGGCCGCCACGGCGAAGGCGGAGACCCACTAAAAATCACAGGCGGGTGAAGCCTGTGAACGTGGGATTCGGCGGGCACCTTTTGCGCCTCCCCTACTCGCAGGGAAACCCGGTTTCAGGGATCCGGAGCGACGGGGGGTGGGCGGCGCGGTGCTCCAGATTGACTGCTTTTTCCACGGAGCAAAGCCGCATAGCTGTTGCCGGAGAGCGCTGACTTTTTCCTGTGGACAATTTGATCTTAAAGCAACTACCCGTGAGTAGAGTGAAGAATTGGATTTTTAAACGTCTTAATTTGGCACCGAAACGGGGAGGCTCAAAACAGGAAGTCCACCTCCCCTTTTTGTAAATAAGACTGAGGCAAAGAGGTTGCAAGCTAAAGTCTTGGAAAGCCTATTGTAAAGGACTAAATTCTCATCAGTAAAAAATATTAAACCCCCCTTGGAAGCAGGAGAAGAGGGGGGAGGCTTTGGATTGTGTATCCCTGCAGGAGTGAGTGAAGGAAGTTAAAATACCACCGTTCCGAACCTGGAAACGGGCTGCTAGTAAGACCGACGTGTCTTGGAAGGTTCATTGACAGCGAATAGAATGTTCGGTGACAGCTAGCATAAGAGAGATACATTGTTTCCATTGTCTTCGTCTGCACTTATAAAGGAGTAAAAGTAATGGAAAACTGAAACAACTTTATTGAACTTTATTAAAAAAGGAGGAAAGTAACTGAAAATTGAAACTAACTTTGGATTATTGAAACTGTGTTTAAAAGAGGACATACTGACCGATACAAATACAACTCGCTTTCCCCTAGTGGAAGCTTTTGAAATTGGTTACTTTATAGGAGCTGGGCTAGGGGAATTTCCAGATGCAAGATAAAAAAGTGTGAGACTTTGGAATTGACCTTGAATCTCTTAAGTGTTATGGCAAACGGAAAGGAAAAAACAGACGGGATGTCGACAGAGGAGGCCTTAGTGGCTGCATTATTGAAAATAAACGATTCGCTGGAACAACTCCACAAGAAAACAGATGCGATAAATGTGAAATTGGATGTTGCAAATATTGAAATTGATTCAACTGTAGAAATTTTAAATAACTTGGGACAAAAGGTGAATACCAATTCAGAAACCACCCAGAAACTGACACAGGAATCTACTTCGATATGGCAAACTGCAGATGAAGTCAGGGGAAAAACCCTTGCTGCTGAATCTAAAGCAATACAACAGGAGAGGAGAGTCCCATCCATACAAAGACAACTTGACGAGCATAAGTTGACATTCGTTATGATTGAACTTAAAGAAGAACGGATGAATTTGAGGACCAGAGCCCTATCTGAATTGGAAAAGGAAAGCTTGACAGAGTTTCAGGAGGCGATACTAACATTGGTTGAGAAAGAGAGGTATTTGGGGGTTAGTATGACCGCCAAAAATGTGAATCTGCTTAAGGATAACTGTGAAGGATGTTGGATTGAAGAGAAGGGGGATTTGGAAATATGGACAAATCAGAAGTTGTTACTGTTGGGCCAAGTTATTGTGGTGGGGATGAGGGCTGCTGTTTTGCTGGGGATGTTGCTTTTGTTTCAAACATTGCAAGCTTTGGATGGGATGGAGGGTCTCAGGAGGTGGCAGAGGGATGCTCCCAGAGTTGTTTGGCAGGGCAGGAAGCCTCGAGTAAAATTTAAGATATTGATGGATGCCAAAGAAGGAGGGGGACCTGCCCTGCCAGACCTTTAAACTTTGCTGTGAACCATCTGCTTTTTGCTGGTTGAGAGAATGGTTGCCTTTTGAAAACACTGAAGCGTTGGACAATGGCAGATGAAGTTGATGGACTATATGGAATTGGCGGAAATGACTGGCAAGATCCGAGACCAGGGTGAAGAGTCGGTGGAAGAAGATTGGAAAAAGTTTAAAGACTATTTATAGAAATATTGTAAAATTAAGGAATGTTAGAAAAATGTTGGAATGAAAATATATGGCTTTAGCAGAAATGTCATAAGGAATTAAGTATAAATAGATCAATAGAAAATTAAAGGAAAAGTATGGCAAGAATGTGTTAAGATAATTATAGAACAGAAAACAGAGTAAGATGGAAAGCAATTGCTGAAACAAATAATAGAAGTGGAGTACAAAAAGGTAGGTGGGAGGAGGTCGCTGGAAATAAGTGAATGAAATATAAGATATTGAAAATGTTTGAGGTGTTTTTAAATTGTTTTTGCTTGTTTTTGTTTGTTTTGTTAGTCCATGTAGCGTTTTTGTATTGTATTTGCATTGTTTTTTCTTTTTTTTCCTTTCTCTTTTTTTGTTTGTAATGTTGTGTTGGAAATGTTGAAAAAGTAATAAATATCATTTTTAAAAAACAAAAAAACAAAAAGAGGCATCCAGAGTGGACCTGTTTCGTTAACTGGAGAAGAAATGGCTTTGCAGATGTCACCGAAGCTGGATATGGGTTAAGGAAAACTATCACTGTCTTCTTCTAATTAGCAGGTGAGGAACTTTTTATTCTTTCATTGGTAGCTAACCATTTCCTTGAAGGACATATTGTATTAGTGTGAAATCCAAATAAAGAACCAAAGTACTGTTTAGTTAAAATAGATAATCCATCCTTCCATTCTGCAAAAGCATATTGTGACTTGAGTGTGATCCAGTACTTTGGGTTAGAGAAGGCATAGGCTTGGACTGGGCAATGGCCTGGCATGGGGGGGGCGGTGCCACACGGGCAAGGTGCAAAAATGTTAGGGGGTGCAAAATTTCAACCACCCGGTGCTGCCTCAATACAACTGTCCACTTTTGTTGCTGGGCTCTGTTGAAAATGGCTTCTCTACGCAAACCAGGAAGTGATCTCTCCAGACAACAGAATGATTCTTCTTTTCTTATCTCTGTGGCTGCCCACAAGCTGCCCCCAAACCGAGCCGCCCGCTTGGTGAGTCCCCTGCATGCTGTGCTAAACCAGCGCGGCACAGGGACTCACTGAGCGGCGCCGGAAATCGCATCTGCGCATGTCCAGACACCGAAAATCACTTCTGCACAGGCGTGATTTCCAGTGTCTGGGCATGTGCAGAAGCCATTTCCGGCATCGCGCTGCGCCAGTCCGGCCCACGGACGATCTCCATGGGAGTGATCCAGACCATGGCCGCTAAACCTTGCCGACCCCTGATCTAGAAGGCCACATAAACCTGATTGCAGCCAGTTCTAGCAAGCAATCCAAGGAAAAGTCTTGGCTGTGTTGCAGCAGACAGTTAAAGTGGAATAAATCCACAGTTAATTAGAAAGACTGCCCCCTTGCTTAATCAATCTGAGCAAAGCTGAAATAGTAAACAAACACCCTGTTCTTAGCACATTTATTTTGAAGTTAACTCCCATTGATTTCAGTGCATCAAACTTCCAGGTTTGTGTGCTTAAGACTGCAGCTTAAGTACGAATTGTTCAAGGGTAATGACTTCCTTTTGGTTTAAAACTTTTTGCTGTTAATCTTTGGGTATTATTGTTGCTGTCAGAACTGATAGTTCTCTTTTTCCAGCTGTAACTTTACAATTTGATTAGGAACAAGAGGCAGTGTTGTCATATTGATTTGCTTATAGCAATAACAGCTTCTCCTCAGAAGTTTTTTCTCTCTCTTCATCACAGGGTGTTCTGTGTCTTCACAAGGTCACTGCACAGAAGCATCTCCACAGTTAAGCTGCAATTGCCAACATAAACAGCAGAACTGCCGGATTCAGATGGAATATTCTAGAATTATAATCAGTATTTTGTACTCCAGAATATTAACATCCACATTACGTTACAGAAACTTCAGGCTCTTTTGAGCAACAAAAGATAAGCTTGCATTTTGTAAGTGATATTCATACATCGCATTGCATGTTTGATTGGGTGTAGACTTTACTGAAAGAAAGGCAATGACGAATGGAAATCTTTCTTCTTTGTTTTAGCTACTTATTCTTGGTACAGTACTCTCACTCTTTAGCAAAGTTCTCGGTTCTTGACGGTATGTCTGTATTCTCCATGTATGTCTCATTCATGCTGGAGTCTCGGTTCCTGAGAGTCTGGTTTTCATTATTTACAAAAGAAAGCTTTAGGTTTCATGGCTGTGTCTACCAGTTTTACAACATGCATGCATTCCAGAGGAGTAGCTGAGTCAGGCTGCCGTTGCAAAGCTAACAAACACCAACTGAATTAAGCTTTGGTTGCATTGATTCTCATGTATGGTACCAGCTACTGGGAGGAGTAGGTAAGACAAGAAACTGCCACCAAAAGCATAAGGTTAAAAAAAAAAAAAGGTAAAGGACCCCTGGACGGTTAAGTCCAGTCAAAGGCAACTATGGGGCTGTGGTGCTCATCTCGTTTTCAGGCCAAGGGAGCCGGCATTTGTCCACAGACAGCTTTCCAGGTCATGCGGCCAGCAGGACTAAACAACAGAACAGCATGACAGAAACCAGAGTGCACAGAAACACCGTTTACCTTCCCACTGCAGTGGTACCTCTTTATCTACTTGCACTGGCGTGCTTTCAAACTGCTAGGTTGGCAGGAGCTGGGACAGAGCAATGGGAGCTCACTCCATCCTGGGGATTTGAACTGCCAACCTTCTGATTGGCAAGCCCAAGAGGTTCAGTGGTTTAGACCACAGTGCCAGCCCCATTGTGGTCTAAAGCAGTGGTGTCCAAACTTTTTTCAAAGAGGGCCAGATTTGATGAAGGGAAGGGCTGTGAGGGCCGGCTAAAGGGCCGACCAAAGTTGTTGACCTTTTTTTAGGATTGAGGTTGTTGAGGGTTTTTTGGAATTTTACCCCAGGCAATAAACTGCACTGCCACAGAGGCTGGATTGAACCGACTGGTGGGCCGGATTACGCCCCCGAAACGGACTTTGGACATGCCTGATCTAAAGCATACCCTCCAAGTGGGCCTATTTTCCAGGGATAGTCCTGGGATTATGAAAGCTATCCCAGTTTCTCCATGGCCTCCTCCCTTGGTCAGCTTGTAGCCCGTAGTGGTGTGGTTTGGTTCATTTTCCTTACAGACTGGATTTGCTTTTTCTATTTCTTATGGGTTCAGCCCTTCTCTGCTTACAAGGGCTGACCTATTCATGGCAACAGAAGCTGCATATTGATGTGCACATTCTTTGCATATGTAGATCTGCTCCTTCCATCTAAATGAACGAAGCCACTGCAATGGAGGGGGGAATTTCATGTGTGCATTGGAGCACACAGAGAGCTGTAGATCAGGATGCATTTATACTGTCCTTACAAGCCAATGTGATTTAACCTGATTTAACCCGCGGAATTGCAGCGTTTCCTTGGTTCTGAATATCTGTATCTGTTTATCTGCTTCCTTTGTGCACAGTACAACTTGATCCTGCAAGTTCGTGCTAATTTCTAGTGCATTTATCAAAAATCCAAAATATAGTATAACCTAGTTGTCAGGAAGGCAGGTGTCGCCGTAAAAGTTCTCCAGAACAGATATATATATAAAAGTAGCTCTTCATCAAGGCTTGCAATCTCTTCATTCTTCCCAGGTTGTAAGGAAGAGGAAGTAGTGGAGAATGGAAGCAATAATGAAAATAAGTTTTAACAACATGGGCTAAATTGAAGCCTAGCATTTATTCAATTACAATGAGAGAGGGAAGGCGGGAGAAATGATTGCCGGAAAGTGTAATGTACTTGCACAGTAGTGACTAAGTTTGTCATGATTGAGCATTCTGGCTCATGTATGAATGGCAAATTGAATTCACGCTGCTGTCATAATCATTCCTTTAGAGCTTCACAGGAAGGCAGGAGAGGGGAGTGATTCATTCAGAGACAGTACTGTATTCTGGGGGCTGTACAGGTAATTACGCTGAACACAGAGACAGAATTTCTGAACTGCATTAAAAACCAATAACACAAAGACAACCCATAAAGAAAAAGAAGAAAAGAGTGAGGCTTTGTACTGGTCTGTTTGCAATGAGGGACTGAACACAGTGTTCTCAGGAACAATGGAACTTAATAGGTTTAGGGCACAGCGATGAAGCATCTTGGTGCATCTGTGCATATATTAGACATGAAGTTCAATGCTTTCTGGACAGGCTGGTAAAACCAACTGAGCCTTTGATCAGATTCAGTTAAATCCTTGGATTGTTTAAGGTATTCCTATGTGAATTTTGTTTGGAGGGAAGGAAGAGGAGGAATTGAATTTCATCATTCACAATTTAGCTCACATTTGCTTTCAGGGTTACAGATGGTCTGTAGGGGCACTCCTACTTGTTGCATTTCTAACGGATTCATTAGGGAATTGTGTTATCAAGAACGAACAGGAAAAGAGCCCGAGCATTTAAACCAATTCCTGTACTTTATAAGGGCCTTCTCGGTAGTGGCGCCCGCCCTGTGGAACGCCCTCCCATCAGATGTCAAGGAAATAAGCAACTATCCTATCTTTAAAAGACATCTGAAGGCAGCCCTGTTTAGGGAAGGTTTTAATGTTTGATGCTGTATTGTTTTTAATACTCGATTGGGAGCTGCCCAGAGTGGCTGGGGAAACTCAGCCAGATGGGCGGGGTATAAATAATAAATTATTATTATTATTATTATTATTATTATTATTAATCAGTGTGATTTTTACACAAGCTGTTTAAAAGGCATCAAGGTTTATGGCATCTGTAAGGCAAGCAGTCGCCATGTAAATTACCTACGTGCTCCTTTTAGTCTTGGCTGCGATGCAATAAGAGCTCAGGTCTGTAAGAGCACTTCCATTTCACTGTACATGGATTATATGAAGCGCAGGCGAGATAATAGAGCATGTGCTTAGTGAACAACAACTTGAAACATCTGCCTTATTAACAATGTGAAAGACCATCTCTTTTCCCTCCCCCAATTGTTCATCAACATCCAGTTACCGCTGCTTCCTCTGTTCCTGAAAGTAGGCTAGTCACTGAGACTATCAGTGTAAATAATGTTACTCATCGAAGAGAGCATCTCACATCACTATGCAGAATAATCTGTCAGGTGTTGTTGCTGTGTGTTTACTATGGGCCTCAACGCAGAGCAGATGTTTCATTGAATGAATGACTGTGATAAGGATGGATTTAAGTGTTAGCTTTGCACAATAGGATAGTTTCAACAAGCACCTACACATTCTCCTCCGTTCAAACAAGCAAAAGGCACCATCAGAAGAACACATTTCAGAAGAAGAAGAAGAAGAAGAAGAAGAAGAAGAAGAGCAAAACCCCTCAGGAAGAAGGAAAGCAGGGGCAGTTAGAGGTTCAGCTTGGGGAGAAGGGGTGACATGGAGAGAGCCCAAGGATCAGGTAGAGGGGGCTTAAGGGCAGGATTTGGCATTGGGTCTGATGATGATGATTTATTTATACCCTGCCCATCTGGCTGGGTTTCCCCAGCCACTCTGAGTGGCTCCCAATTGAGTATTAAAAACATGATAAAACATCAAACATTAAAAACTTCCCTAAACAAGACTGCCTTCAGGTGTCTTCTAAAAGTCAGATAGTTGTTTATTTCCTTGACATCTGATGGGAGGGCGTTCCACAGGGCGGGCGCCACCACTGAGAAGGCCCTCTGCTTGGTTCCCTGTATCCTCACTTCTCGCTGTGAGAGAACTGCCAGAAGGCCCTCGGAGCTGGACCTCAGTGTCCAGGCTGAATGATGGGGGTGGAGACGCTCCTTCAGGTATACTGGGCCGAGGCCATTTAGGGCTTTAAAGGTCAGCACCAACACTTTGAATTGTGCTCGGAAACATGCTGGTTCCACATCCCTGCACGAAGAGCTATTGACTGAGATCATTCCCAAGAAGAGCATTGGAGTGCTCCTCCAATTCTAAGTACTATTATTCTGGGCTTTACAAAGACAAGCAAATCACCAAATGAGCATGGCATTTCCTCTTGGTGCATACAAAAATAACATGCAACAATACAGTCATTTCAAGAGGTTGAAATTCATGCAGGTTGGTTCTACAGCTCGTAAGGTACAGTACAAGATGGTGCTGCTGTTTGGAGACTCTCCTAGCCTGCAGAGTTCATTGATTTCATGCCTTCTCCACTGCAAACTAGACATACGATGCTGAAGTCCCAAATCCACTGGGCAACTTTCCTAGCAGGTGAGTGTTGAGGGCCTGGAAAGGGCAGAGTGAAAATAACGAAAAGTCGACAGACTTGTCTTACTGTGAATCATTGCACCTTTGCAGTTTTTCTAGTCTGACTGGACACAGGACGGAAAGGAAAGATAAGAAAGCAGCTTACATATAAGCTATCCCTTCCCATCCTAGTTTCAGAAGCCCGAAATGTTCTAAGCAAGTGTCACAAAGGCATCAAAGCTTTCAATGCTCCCTGAAATGAAGGTACGTGTTTGACCTGTGGGTGTGCCTGTCTGGCTTGTGGGTATGTAGTTCTCGGTGGTTTACAAAGTAATGACATTCCTTATGATTTTGCTTTCAATGAAATCCAGGAAAGCAAGACACTACCAGAGTGCTGAGATATTTCTAAGCTAGGGACAATGAATCAGTCAAATTCATTTTCTCTCATTTTCTCATTTCCCCCCCATCTGAGGTTCAGTTCTCCACATTTTCCTCATCAGATTTGCTTAAAAGAAAAAAAAAACCCTCATTGAAATTCACCAGCATTTTTGCAATAATTTCTCCTAATATACATGGTTTCATATGCAATTTTGTCCAATGGACACATTTTTTTTTTTGCAGAAACAATTTCACCAAATATAGTTCACTTTTGAATATTACTTTCCAACAATGTATGCATTTCTATGAACACTTTACTCCAATAGATTCATTTCTATGCACGTTACTTTGCTGGAGAAGAGCACTGCAAAAAATGCAAAATTCATGCGTGAATCTTCACGCTCTCTGTAGAATATGTGAATTAGGTAAGTTTGCCTTTAAATGTGAACTGAATCAAATTTCTCTCCCACCTCTATTCTAAGTCAGTGATTCTTGGTTATCGAGGTCATTATTTTCTGAGCTATTTGCCCCATTTATTGCTTTGTCTAAGGACTTGGTGCTGTTATCTCGCCTGATATTGTGATCCCTCAGGCAGGTGTGACAAATGGATGGCTCTGTCTTCTAACTCCTCCCCCTCAAGGCGTGATGGTACTTAAATAGGTCAGTGCTGGTGGGACATGGAGAGACTATCTCAG